GAAAATATAATGGTAATTTAACTTATTTCATTGTGATTGCGCCTATTTATTTAATGCAATATTTTCATCATTTGGACTTTTTTCAACAGTGTGCTATTTCAAAACACCACCTAGATGCAGTGTCAATTGGTGTTCAGTGAAGAATTTTTGGTAGTCCACAAAGAAATTAAAACATTATTTATATTTTTATGAAAAAAAATTAAAAATGAAGAATAGCAAAACGTATTATGGAATAGAGAGATTATACATTTAAAAAATGCTTTTTTTTGTTATTCCCAAGTTTAACGAAGTTTAGTCAATTTTCCAGGTACAGCTAGCTACATTTGCGATAGTTTTGATAACCATAGTAAATTAGTAGTATAACACTTCTGTTTGCTGATATTTCTTTGAGTTGTTGGTTTGTTCTTGCTTTTCGGGAAGCTCCTTTTCAGTTATATCGAAATGTAAGTAGAGACGTAAATATAAATGATACGATATAGTTACAGTAGTCTGCCATTCTATGTTCAATAATATTATCGTTACAACAAATATAAAATAACACAATTAACACTACACGAAGTTCTAAAGATTAGTGAATACTAGTCTAGATTATATTTGGTGTTTTGTGGAAAAAATTATTTAAAATCCTTCCCTTGCTTCAACAATTTTTTTCCCGAAGTTTCAACTTCATCTAATTGAGATCGCATATATATATATATATTTCTTTCTTTATATTCTGATTATTTACATTTATAAACCATAATGAGTTATACAAAGCAGCTATCAAAACCTCTAAGACGTTGACAGGGAGAACATGCAGCCTGTTCATAGAAAATATTTTAGAACAATGGTGGTTGTGCGGGGAACTAAGTCGAACCAAGTACTTTAAGATTGTAAATAAACGTCATATCACCCAAATAAGAGGGTGATATGAGATAAATACACTTTAATTCAGCGTTTCTCAAACTGTGGGGCACGAGTACATAGAAAAATTCAAAACAAAAAATTATTTAAAAATTAATAATTTACAGAAAGTAAACAAACAAAATTACTTTCTCATATAATAAAATGTAAAATACACATTTACACTGGTATTTTTCACTTATCAATGTATCAGTACTGTACAATATATTTTATTATTGGTTTAACAATACTAAATTAAGAATAAGTTTGATACTTACTAATGATTCCATAAGCTTGTATTAACACTTATCTTGGTAATTTGTACGGTTTATAATTAATTCCTTAACCGCAAACTAAAAGTTACGCGATTCGCTCCCTAATGTCACCGTTTTCCACGTACACGCGCATATTTTGGTGGGCTTTTTTGAGGGGGATGGGAGTAGAAAGACAATGGAATATATATATATATATAAGAGCAAATCCTCCGAAATAAGTAAATCCTTCGTAAATAGTGTAAAGGTTGAATTCGGAATAATTTCATTGATATCAGTCCACAGAAAAGATCATTCTTCGGAAAGACGTATATATACTCCCAGAAAATTAAAGTTTGGGCTAAGTGAGACGTTTATATACTTCGGTGGAACATAAGAGGTTAAAGTCGAACGTTAGCTTTAGTGTCAAAGTATAGTATTATTGAATTTAATACATTGTTATTGTATTAGGGGGGCGCGATGAAAATTATGATTGAATATCGGGTCGCGATTATTGAAAGTTTTAGAAGCACTGCTTTAATTCTTATCATATAAGAGGATACTGACAAGGTTATTGGTAATAATCAAACAATTTCTCCAGGAGTAAAGATTTTGTGTGCCAAGGGTGACTCTGTGACTCGCGTGAGCATTCCTGGGTTAAAATCATATGACTTCCTGTAAAAGCTCTTCTGATTGGTTCAGATACTCAAATGATGTTAAATTGCTTTGTTCTTAACTTTTAGTTATGATGAGATAAGGTTATCATTGTATCCTGTGAGGCAGGAATAAACTAGATATTAATTTTTAAGTAAAGTCCTGTAGGTCCCAAAACCCTTATGGATTAAAAACGCTCAAGAAAAAATTAACATGAATTATTACATTTGTAAATGCTATCGAATCATTAAAGGAGAACTACTAAAATATTGCTTCTGTGGAAATATAGTTCAATACTAACAAAATAAATGCAGGAATCAGATTACACATATATTACGTAAAGCCGAACGACATTTAATAAATAAAGGAGCATTAAGTTTAGAAATATAAGATTAAAACTGCCCAGGCGAATCAATGGCATGCAATGTTCTACGCTCCAAACTGTAACGGGATTAATTAGATCAGTTAATACAAATTCATAAGAGCAACTTTAAGTTAAGTCAAACCATCCAGCAAAGAACAATTTTCGTTCCTGGACATTGATGAAATGATCTTAAGTCAACTTAAGTCTGCGGAGTTTAATCCAGTGCTATCAATTATGTTCTACGATGGTTGGTGGAATGATTAGGAACGATTAGAATCACTAAAGCCTTCAGGGTTTGTCTAATTTCCTCAAAACGTCAATACCAGGGTTAGATTCAGTCATTAATCTTTTGCGCGCCTTAAATACCTATCTAATAACTTTTAGTGCTCATAAATTACCTTCTACGAACTTTAGTGATCTTTATGTTCTTCAAGCAGCAAGTGGTTCACATTTAGGAAAGATTTAAGGAATGAATTTTCGAATGCATATGCCAAAGCTTTTCCTATCTACAACTTAGGTATAGGAAATACTATTATATAAAGTAACTGAATCACTTCAGCTTGTTTCTGTTACCAATGGTAAAATGTATTGTTCTAAAAATTTGTTGAGTGTTATCCATTTATATAAAGTACCATCTCCTAAACCATAATTTAAAAAGAAATAAGGATTGAATTATAATAAACAATTATATAACCAGGATAAAAGGCACATAACGATAACAAGTCGAAAGATGTTTACGAAATCTATTAAAAAATGACATTTAATATATTTATAAAAAAGCTTTTTTCCTTCAAAACATTTTAATGAAAAACGTAAAAGTAATCTGATTTAATACTCGTATTATGAGGTTATATTGAAAAATAGAAAATATGTTAATAAGATACTCAATGTCTTTGAAGGAAAAATTCTTCATTGCTACAAGGTTTGTATAAAATATATCTATTAATTTCAATTGCACTAAAAAAAAGAAACATGCAAAAGTCAATACTATATATATATATATATATATATATATATATATATATATATATATATATATATATATATATATATATGTATGTATGTATATATATTCTGAGTCTAGATATTTAATATGCTTGATAAAAAATTAAATCTCAATTCCTTATATTTGGAAACAAAATATTAGTTTTAATAAACAACATATTATATGCATGTATACGTTTATATGAATCATTCTAACTTCTTGGGAAAAAGAACTTTATTCAAAAAAACAAGTTTCAGCAAACTCTCAGCAATGCAAGCCAATACCTGCTTTCGAGTCAGATTCTATATTTATTTCAATAACTACTTACTCATTCGTCCTCTTTTAGTTTTGGTTTCGAAGGGAAAGTAACGCTTTTTTAGAAATTACACTCAATGACTATGAAAGGAAACACAAAATAGAATAGAAATATGAAGTTTATATGAAACTGAGGAAGTACTAGCTGTTGAATTTTGTACTAGAATATGCATGGCAAACATTATATAGGGGAGGGGGTAGCGTTTTCGACAAGTTTAACTTCAACTATCGTGACATACACTCAAAGTTTTGAACTGTTAAGTTAAACCTAAGTTTAAGAGAGTTTATAAGATAAGGGCGTATAAAATAAAATAAATATACACTATAAATCGATGAAAAGTAGTGAATCAACTATGAACAGTACCTAAAAGTAGTATAAGGGATGTTAATTTATTTATATAAATATATATATATATATATATATATATATATATATATATATATATATATATATATATATATATATATATATATATATATTCATATACACTTTTTATATTATATTTTTCTCATTATTTAAAAAGAAATGTGTAGCGATGTTTAAAGAAGACTCGCAATTCCCTTGTGTTTGCAACGAATTGTCAAAATGAAAGTGATAAGTAATATGCTGAAAAATTAAAAGAATTAAAAAAAATCATAATTTATTTAAGATAATCTCTATTTAAATGCAGCTGTTTATTTGAAAGAGAATTTAAAATATTATCTAGAAAGATTCTGCAATTTCGTGTTTTTTCCTACAATTATTTACCACTGTTTTAAAAAATGAAATTGCATAAATTCCAACTGAAAAAGGTCAAAAGTGTTATAAAATACATTATTCCGTCACATTTGTATCAGATAAGTTATCACCGTAAGACTGATATTTGTTTCGTTTACTTGACTGGGCAAGAAGATCGATTATCATGATATTTTGTGTGTCGTGTACTATAAACTAACATAATGACTTTTCCAATACGGCCTACATTCGATGAGATACAATGCCCAGTGGCCGTACGTTATACAGCCATAAATGATGGTGTGTAAAATCTTACAGAGAGGTTAATGGTTCTAATGTAGTGGAGTAAAGTGATTTATCATTGTAAAGCAGACATCTTCATGTTGTGGGAATTCTTTGTATTTTTGTATTGTGTGTATCACTTTATTCGTGTATAATAATAAGTATATTTCTGGAAATATTTGTATGTAAAGTATCAAATCTGTATTGTTAGTTTCAGCTTAATTTTAATGTACACCCAACTCTTTTTTTCACTTCCTACTATTAGTTCATACTCACCCTATATATATATATATATATATATATATATATATATATATATATATATATATATATATATATATATATATATATATATATATATCTTGTTCAAATTTTGAATGGTTAAAAAAGTATTTTCTATTCATCCATTCCAGTTCAAATCCATTTTTTAAAACTTGTACTGGATGACACTTGATGTTAATATAGTTTTTTCAAATATTAATTAATTGATTAATAGTAACAAACAAAAATAATGGTCCATCATCATAAATAAAAAAGTCAATCGTTAGCTGTGTCCCTGTAACGCAATGGGTAGCGCGTTGAAATTCTTTTCCAACGGTCGTGGGTTCAAATCCTATCTGGGATGGTCTATTTTCTGAAAATGTGATTAATGAATAAATTGTAACACACAGAAAAATAATAATCTAACACCATATATAGAAAGGAAAATCGCTTACTTTGTTGCTTAATATTGTGATTCTGTCATATGTATATACAAATTTATGTTAATTGTAATTATTTAATTAAAAGTAACTGAAATAAAATTTTCTTTGAAGACCTTAGTAGGAATTGACTAATATTTTTGGTTTACATGGTAAATACGTTTCTTAGAAAATCATGCAAAAAAAGTAAAAAAAAGAAATCGTGTAAAAATACACGTGACATATGTTAAATTTGGAGATATGTTTCCCAGCTTTAAAAAGTCATTTGAGATAGAAAACATTTTAAAATTTTCCCAAAACCCCATGCAGATATATATACATCTCAAATTTTTCTAAAACAAAAACAATTCATTTTTATTACAAAAAAAAAAAAAAATAATCAAAACTTGTGTACATTGAAGTTCAGTGTATAAGTACATACCACATATAAAAATTCAGATTGAAATCAGGAGTAAAATAATAACAGCTATTCATCGCTATTTGATAAGAAGCTTGCATGTGTATTACGGACTGGATCAAAAATGCTTATTAACGGTAGCAGTGTCAGATATATCTAGCACAACTGTCAACTTTGATTCAAACGAAAAATTTCGTTCATTATTAAGAAGTGTTGGAAAGATAAAATCTTACTTTTTTTACAATTTGAAATTCTAACATTTTTAAATTGTATTGATTTTAGGATTTCTAAAAATAACTTATTTTAACCTCTAGGGTAATAAAAAGCCCTTAAAACCTATTTTTAATTAATGGCTGAGAAACTGGGCCACGCCCATTTGAATGGCGATAAATGTAAACAAAGTACTTCGTTTTTGCTAGTTGAGTTGAGCGTCTGATAGAAACCAAAACATTCATCTTTTATTGTAAATTGAGCCTTTTTATTTTTTTATTTCCCAGCAAATTAGAAACCTCAATGCATACATAAATTAAGGTATCCGACTACCCTAAAATCATGATTTGTTTCAAAAATTGACAATTTTTATGATTTTATTTTACAGACCATTTTATTAGCTTATTAACAATACCAAATGTTTTATTTTCTCTTCACTAGAACAAAAGCTACAAGCGTTTTAGTAAAAGCAGATGGCATAACTTTACACAAGATGTCAAATTTAACATACGTTTTACTCGAGAAATGTGTTTTTTTTCTCGAAAAACTCAAACTAAGACAGCGATTGCTCAAAAATATTTGAATATAATTGGCTGAAATTTTTTGCATATGTTCTGCATAACAGTAAAAGTGTTTTGACCTCCGTCAAAATTTACAGTCTTTTATGTTAATATAGTCAATGTTTTTTTAAGGAATTTCGTATAATCACTAACATAAAGTGCTCTAGTTTTTGTAAAAATTAAAATATCTCTTATCCTGTAGGTCACTTCAAACATGAATAACAAAGTAACACATCAAAATTGAAATTTGTTCATAAAATCTTTGTACAGATCTGGCCCCATTTATGTAATTTATTTGTATATTTTGACTAGTTTTTTCCCATTTTAATAATAACAATGTGTTTTCTTTTTTTCAATTTTAGGATTTTTTCCTTAAAGTAAACAAAATAAATACAAAAATCTCAAAAAATTGCCATATCTCCATTTTTTCAAAAAAAGAGTTGTGGCAAGTAGTCGGATACCTTAATTTATCTCAAAATGTAAATTTTGATGTTCGATGTACCTTTTCTAAGAAACTTCTATTCACAGGTACGTTTATGGTGTTTTATGATATATTTATAATGATGACTAATATATACTAAAATGAGCTTTTTGTAAAAAACTCAAAAATTCATTTTTTACAATTTTTTTACTTAAAAAATGGGTCAAATTTCAGTATATTTGATAAAATATTTAATAAATTTTGAAAAAATTCGCAAATTTGCCAAAAGCTCATTTCTGTATAATGAGAAAGGTGTACTTTAATTGAACACAAAAAGTTCAAGCAGGTACATGTAACAGATTTTGAGAAAAGGTATATCAAAAACGGCAGTTTAACATTGCCATACATAGAGAGAGTTTTACAACTCCTCTTAACAGCCACAGGTTTTTTTTTGTTGTTGTTAATATAAAGTCTGTTATTAATGGTTGATTTTAAGTTTCTAAATTGCTTATATAATACCTGATATACTTCAACATAAATGTTATGATTGGGTTAATTAAACCAGCTGCTAATAGCTGAACTTCATCATTATAGCGCGACTTTTTTTATTTTATGATAAACTGTCATAAATTCAATCGAATCTTCCTCAACCAAAGTGCACGAATCCATCAATATCTTAAAACTTTGTGCTAGAACATCGCGCTAAATTCTTGTGCCGTGTTATTTCAAAATCGTGTAAAACAAGAGACTTGGTAAAAAAAAGAGTGATATATATATGGAGATATTCTGGAATTTTGCAACTGGAAAGTGAGTGTTTAGTAAAGCAACACGAGATCTATTGGTGATGCCATACAGTTTCATAAGCGTGATTTCTTGCAGCGCAAGTCACTTTTGAATTTATTTTCGTCACAATATTGACCGTTCACATAGTAACTGAAATTATTCCTTTAAACTATAATTGTTATATATTTAATCTTTATATTAAAAGGAGGAAAGCAACTCACTCATTCACTCACTAATCACAATATCTCAAGAACTATTAGACCTACGGACTTAAATTTGCTAAGCATATCCGTTTCATGGAGTTGAAATCCTCTAATAGCGAGTTTTTCAAAAAAAGTCCGCCAAGGGGTTAAATTGCTTTATAAAAAGTATTTCCGTTTTGAACTATTAGACCTACATTCTTGAAATGGGACCCACAGGCTCTTTCTTTGAATTTAAGATTCACTACGGCCGTTGGTAGCCTAGTGATTAGAGTATCGGACACCAGACTGGAAGGCCTGGAATCCGATGCCACTAAATACCCTCCGAGTACGCACGGAGTACGTGCTCATTAAATCAGTGGGTCCGAAAGTCTTGTGGGCTGAATCACGAGTGCAGGGGACTGGGGAATATTTCCCTCCCTTTCAGTTCCATGCCTAAATTGTGGAGGTGGAGATAGGTGGTGTCGCCATCTATCGTCCCTTAAGGAAATTTTGACTAGCTAATTCGTACTGTCACCTGTATGGTGCTCAAGGCCAACGACAGACGTACTTCTAGCCTCTTGTCATGATGAATTTCGTGGGTCTCGATCTGACTACGTCAGACAGGTGGCATTATCCACAACAACACAACAAGATCCACTACAAAAGAGGTTTTGCAAAAATCAATCCCTAGGACCAGGGGGGTTTAAGTGGTTAAAGGACGTTGTAGAAACATATAATAACGTTTATGAATTATATAAGACCTAGAGGCGTGAAATTTAGAAGGCATGTTCCTTTCATGGAATAGAGATTCGCGACAAAAAGAGTTTTGGGGAAAGTAATCCCTAGGGGGATAGCGAGGATTTAAGGGCATGATAGATAAATGTTCCAGGTTTTGAGTTACAAAGCCTATAGTGACAAAATCTGGTATTCATGTTTCATTTGTTGAATTGAAATCTGTTAAGAATGAACCGAATAAAAATCGACTCAAAGGGAAGGGGAAGAGGGGTTTGTACTGAGTTTATTGATAAAAAAAAAACATGTGTTTTTGCAGTATTAGATTTAGAATTGAAATTTGGCATGCATCTTTATTTTGTTGAGCAGAGATTCACTAAAATGGGTTTTGCAAAAATCCACTTTTGGAGAGCAGTTGACGGGGGCGTAAAATATAATTCCACTTCAGTTTTATATATTATTATTTAGAAGTCCTATCTTTTTTTTAAAGCAAGCGGTGTGAGTTGTAATACTGTTTTTTTAATACAATTGAACACTTAATGCCAAGACTTATGCATATAAATAATATATATTCCTACAACATTCTGAAATATCCAGCGAAGCGGATGGATAAAGGATAGTGATATGATAAAACCACATAAACAAGAAACTTTATCGAGTGGGATCACTATTATGATTTTATGTTTCATAATTTATGTTGGTTTTTTATCTGGGAATTAAAAGTATTATTATTTTACTGAAAAATAACGATTCATATTTTTTCTTTGATAGGAAATTAATAAGGTTGTTGTAGAAACCTAATTTGGAGTAACTATAGGAAGAAGTACACCAAATAAATCTTAAAATAACATCTGTATACATATCACTTCATGAATTTAGAAGGAAAGCCTTGAAGACTTGCACCACTTCGTACACCGCCAATTTAAACTCAGAGAACAAGAGGCTGAGGGAATTAACTTTTGCTGAACATCCAGTTTGCACGCTCGGAATGTTCCTAAATTAAGTTAATCTAGTCTTTGTGTACTGTTACCGCACAAGCTTCGCTGGAAATTAATCAAACCATCGTCGGATTTAAACACACCGTGTCTTCATGTGTTCTTGTCGCCGAAATGCGAGCATCCTACAGTTCGAAGAAGAACAAAAGGCGCTAATTTGGCAGATTCGAATGAGAAAGCCAAACAAATTTAAAACCGAATTATCCGCAACGCAATCAATACCCTTCGCATTAATTATGAAAATGCAAAGTAATTGTCATTCTTTTATCGTTCCTTTCTTAATTGAACTTTTGCAAAGTGCCAGTTAACGAGATAAACCATTAATTTTGAGGGAGATTCCGCAGCCACCAGAACTTTTGTAAAGAAAATGGTGGGGCTGCAGTCTTTTGTTCGGGAGAGAAATATTTCTCATTCAAAACCCCTTTTCGCATGTTCCAGACAATGTTGATTAATAACGCACTTCTTCCGTCGGAAGAGACACGTTTTATCCAAGAAAAGAGGAAAGAGCCACCTAGAATTTCTTATCACGTTTCCCTACGAGAACGGGAAAGAGGGATTATTTGAAGAAAATTTTCGGGTAATAATTTAGCGAGTGCCGAAGAATCTTAATGCCGTCTTCCATTAGGTTTGATTCAAAAAAGGAT